CTTGTAACTTTACTTCTAAGTTTAACCAGTAATGTAAAAATAATCCTATCATGTCTGCCTTGTGAATTCAAAGACACATCCCTAAAGGGAATGGCAGAAGCCGTCATCTTGGTCCATTTCAGAGGATACACAGCTGCAACACAAAACTGGTCACTACGATTACTCGTAGTTTGGTCACAGAATTCTCTCTATCAGCTTCCTTTAAATTTAAACATATCAAAAGCCCTTCTGTCATGAATTCTGCATTTTGTTAATTTTGTACTTCTCAGAAACAATCTCAAATCGAGATAACTAAGGGATGATTTCTTCAAAATATATTTTGATATGACGTTCTCTACCTGTTGGAACTGGCAAAACACAAGTGGTTCTGTAGATGGTGGATTATGGTAAGTATGTGTCAACCCGACTGAGTTAAGGGATGCTCTGGTAGCTGGTAAAACATTTGTGTGTGTGTGTGTCTATGGGAATGTTTCTGGTGTAGATTAGTATTTGAATCAGTAGATGGAGTAAAGAAGGCCTGCTCTCATCAATGTGAGTGGATATCATCCAATCCACTGATGCCCGCTCTTCTTAAGTTGGGATGATCTCCTGTTGTCAGACACACAAGTTCCTTGTCCTTAGGTCTTTGGACTCTGAGATTTAGATTAGCATCCCCACCAAACACTGATGGTTGGTGATCAGATTCAACTTAATTACACTACTAGCTTCTCTGGTTCTTCAGTGTGCAAATAACAGTAGGATCTCTCAGCCTGTAAATCATGTAAGCCAATTCCTATAATGACCACCCCCATACCACCTATGGATCCCACTTTTCTGGAGAACCCTGACTAATATAGTAGATAAGCTGAGCTTTGCAGGGTGTGATGATGTTAGAAACAGGAGCTGAAAGACTGATGTCCCAAGGAAGAAGTGGCAGCAGGGGAAGACCAAATGCTGGGTCCTTTGACTAAAATGATGAAGTCTACTGGGGCAAGAGAAGAGACCACATGATGTTCTCTAGTTGAGTGTGAATAATGAGGGAGGGACACATTATTCTTTGCTAATACCACCACTAAAATGTTTTGGTGGCTAAGGATGATGCTTTCCTGTACACAGACACCCCTTCACTGGTGATGCTCACAGCAGGGATGTGTCAGAATCCAATCAAGTCAGAGACAGCACCTCAAAGCCATAAGGTCTTGATTACAGCCTAACCACCTGGATCCCGGAATGTTGATATCCACTGAAGCTTTAATTCTTGCTAGAAAACTGCTTGCCACCACTCTCTTCCCAAGTCTAGGTTGTTCTAATCAGATGCCTCATCTAGAGGCAATCCCTCACAGAAGGTTCAGAGAAGGCCATGGTAGTAAAATCCCTCATCTGGGGGAGGATGAAACCATGATGTTCACTGGTCTTAACTTTCACTGTATGTACTCAGGCAGAGGATACGTAAGGCTGTCTTGAAAATGGTATGGAGTCCAGCAACTTGTCAGTGCCACAGCTGGATTACAAGATTGGCAGCCTACAATTCAGGCATGGAACAATTACTAGTCAAGCCCTACCTACCAGAAGCAACTTGGAATGGCTGGAGGCAGTATATAATGACTCCAATGGGACAGGAGAGCTGCACTGCTGCACCATATCGGGGATCAGAACCAGGACGGGTTGCAATCAGGGAGCAACGGGGATCCATTTGCTGAGGCCTCCACTGACGGGAATGTGTCAAGGATGGATTAAAGCCATTAAAAGCATCACATTCACTGTCGAAAACCAAAAACCAAGATCTACCATCGAAACGATCCTCCCACATAATACCAGCCTCTGGAAACTCTCTCCTTAGTTCCAGGGAGCGTGCCATCCCTGCCACACGTCCAGGAAAATTTAAGAAATCGAAGATCCTTGGCATGCTCCAAGTAACTCACTTCCTTCAAGTAGACTCCACCTCTGAAACGTTCATCAGCTGGCAGCCAAGCCTCTAACACGTGGCATTCAGGGGACATTTCAGATCCAAGCCATAATCGAGACTCCTATGACAATTCGGGGGTGGGGGAAGTACTCTAATCCAATCTGAGGAAATAGCCAGAGCCAGGGACACTGTATGAGTTTTCTTTTGCTGCTGTTCAAAGAACTGGCCACAAACATGGTGGGTTAAAGCAATACCATGATTCAGCTGCAGCTCTATGAATCAGCATGAACCCTCTTTCTGGAGGTTTTAGGACACATTCCATCTGTTTGCCTCTCCTAGTTTCTCGGGGCTTCCTCCATTCCTTGGCTCATGGCCCTGTATCATTCTGGCCTCTCTTCCATCATTCTGTCTCTTCTTTCATGCTCACCCTCCTGCTTCCTTCTCTCTCTCTCTCTTTTATTGTCAAGGTGATATGCAGAGGGGTTACAGTTATATAAGTAAGGTAATGAGTACCTTTCTTTTGGAACAGTGTTACCCCTCCCTCATTTTCTCCTGCTTCCTTCTCTCCTGTAAGGACCCTGGATGACACTAGGCTTCCCTGAATCAATTAGGGTGATTTCTCCACCTCCAGGTCCTTAACTTCATCACATGCACAAAGCCTTATTTGTTCCGGAAGGTGAGTAACATGCTCACAAGCTCCCCAATATGCTGACTCTAGGCATCAAGTCAGAAATTTGCCTGGTGGGTTTGAGGCCTGCCAGGATACTAATGGGGTGAGTCGGCAGCAGTAGCAGCATGACTAAGGAATGCCAAGGGGGACAAAGTGACCGGCACAGGGCAGGTGGGGACCTAGGAAAGTGGGCTGGTGCCTATGAGTTAGCAAAGGCTCACTTGGGCACCTACTGCCCATGCAAAGTGAAGATTCAGGAACAAGACAGGGAGAATCCCAAGACTAAGTTTTCTTTTTGGGTTTTTGTTTTATGTCAGTTTTAAGGCTTGAACTCAAGGGCCTGGGCGATGTCCCCAAGCCTCTCGGTGCTCAAGGTGAGCGCTTCTACCACTTTAGCCACAGCACCAATTCCAGTTTTCTGGCAGTTCATTGGAGACAAAGAGTCTCACGGCCTTTCCTGCCCAGGCTGGCTTTGGACCACCATCCTCAGCTCTCAGCCTCCTGAGTAGCCAGCATGACAGGCGGGAGCCACTGGCGCTGGGCTCTCAAGAGTAAGTTTTCTTAGCCTCAATACTACCAACAGCATAGGCCAGCCAAGACCGTGCTGTGAGGGTCAGCCTCTGCACTGGAGAATTCTGAGCACCTGCCGCCCAACTGTGGCAATGAGCATGAGCTACAGTTCCACTCGCCACGCTCAGAAGCACTGCACTCACGGGGCAGCCAACTCAGGTCAACCTACCCTGCATATTGGATTTCTAGCCATTCCAGATAGCCCAGAAAGGCATTCCTGAAAAGCCCCTACTGTGACACTAAGCTGGAAACTCAGCTGAAACCCTCCTCTATAGCTGCAGTAAGATGCTCAGTGTTCTGGCAATCTTGAAATAATACTTTCATTCAAGAGTAATCAGGAAGTGCAATGCATGTTCCCTGAGTAATTTTCTTAAATACTCAATTTTCCCCAAAGGTATTGTTTGACATTTAAAAGGTGACTTACTATATACCGACATCATTGCTAGAAAACAAAGAGGCCACTTGCTACGTTTGGTAAATGTCACAGCAACACACAGCAATTATGGTCCTAAGTGTAGCAATGATCTCTTTTCTGTGTTTGATGCAGCACAGCAAATTCCAGCAGCACCCACACTTCGAAGTTCCACTTCGAAACAGGCACAAACAGGCAGAAGACGAGTCAGAAGAAACAATCACCCCTCACAAGCAAGAGAAGGAATGCATGCAAAATGAAGAATGTGACCACGAGGGGAACCAGCTCTGGTCAATGAACTTGGCAACATTCCGTAGGGAAACTTAAAGCCCACCACGAGTATACCCTAAAGAGCCAGGAAGAATTGGTGTACCACCTCCTAGCAAATATAAGGCCATGTCAGTTTAAGTTGGCCCTGTAACAGGAGTCAGATGGTCTGCTTTTGCTGCTATTTTTACAGTTTCTACAAAGCCAACAAAGTCGATTTCCAGACTCTATGAGGTCTAAAGTATACTGAACGGGCCCAAGTGCTGAGCTTCCAGAAAGGAGACCCTCATCTCGCCTGATTTCTGCTCCTTTTTCCTAAGATAATAAGATAGCATTTCATTTATGACTAAGGAAACGTTTTAAGAAGTTATAATTCATACTTTTCGAAAGCATATATTTTGAATGGATTTGATTTTCAGACTCTTTCCAGAAGGCATAAGAGATAAAGTGTCTAAAAAGAGGACATGTGAACCAGGGAAGGGTCAGAATACTGAGAATGGGGGCCCTAAACCCCTGAAGTGAAATGTGGCACACTAAAAATATCACACTGGAAAAACTCTGCTGTGAGAGGACTGGGGAGAATTCTCAGGTTGGCCCATGTTCTGTGGTGAAGGCTGAGGGATAGCATTGTTGGTGAAGAAAGAGAAACTCAATCCACACACCCAGCTAAATCTCAGTTTGCGGAAGGCAAGAGAGTCACAATGCAGGTCAACATAGGTGATGTCACTTCTCTCCAATAAAATGAAATTGAGTAGGTGCTGCTGTCACTTGCTGACCTAATACTTAGTAAAACAGCTTGTACACTAAGCTGTGTGTGTGTGTGTGTGTGTGTGCTTTTCTGCACTGACCTATGACATTAGGAGCCACATAGATGACAGGACAGGTTTATCACACTAGTCTGAGGGACAGATACTTCCTGTGGGAGGGAAGGAAGGGAGTTCAGAAATAGCTGGTATGACGAAGAAAGTTGCAAAAGTCTCTATTCTTATAGACTCAACTCTTCACAAATCTGCAATACCAAGATTCCATTTAAGCCCAGTCCAGAGTTGGCCATGTAGATTAAGAAGGTACATATAAACGAAGATACTTTGGTTTGTATTCCTGCAGACACTGATTTATGCTGGAAGTACACTGAGCTTTTTTCCATGAAAGAAAGAAGTAAGCAGAAGGCAAGATTGTAATAATGTGCTTCTTACCTCTTTCGGGCTTCCTCATATTGCCAGTTAAGTCTGACTCGGTCTACCAGTCTTGTTTTATCATCAAAGACAAACTTCCCAGAAGAAAGAACCAAAAAAAAGGGGGGGGGAGAGGGAAACGACATTAAAAACGTATTTTCAAAACATCAAGAATTCATTTAAACTTTCAGAAACAATACAGACTATTCTTTTAATTTGTCTTCCAACTTCAATTTTTCAAAGCCCTAGAAGAGAATACTTCAAATAATACTCTGCTGCTACCTTTGATGGGTGAGGGCTGGGAGTCAAGCTGAGAAGACCTTTGCTTCCCTAAAACTGGTATTGTTTTTGTTTTATAAACAAGGCAAGTATGCTCATCGACCACATAATCCCAAATAACAACAAATAAGCTTTAAAATAAAGCAAGAAATTACTTAGTACAAGTTGATACAAAGGCAAAAAATGTGTCCAACTTTGCACTGCAGACTCTCCGATTCTTCAATAAACACTAAATACACTTGCCCCTCCATATTTGTGAGTTATATCCATAGATTCAACCACCTGAAGATCAAAATTGTAGCTAAGGAAAGAGTGACATGTTAAATTGAAACGCCTTTGTACAACTACTTAAAGATAATAAAAATTATTCAAAAAAGCTGTAGTTAGGAATGGTCAAACTTTTTTCCTATCACCATTTCCCAACAATAGAATATAACAGCTATTTGTGTAACATTTACACTGCATTAGATATTATAAGTAATCTGGAGAAGATTTTAAGTATATGGGAGGAAGTGTGTAGGTAATGTTGCATTTTACATAACCAACTCAATCCTGTGTGGATTGTGATATCTGAGGAAGGCTCTGGCTGTGGATGCTGAAGGACAACTGCAGTGATCTACTAAGAAGGCTCAAATTCTGAAGAAAGACTAGTATGTAGGAAGTAGAGAATGACTTCCAAAGTCATAGTCACAAAAACAAACCATAAAAGGAAGGAAAGTGAGGGGATGATCATTTTAGAATTACACTTTAATTGCTCAAAATATGATCAGTAGCTGTGATTAAATATTAAGTATTTTATTAAATATTAAATTTATACACCACTTTTTATACATGATTTATATCATATTAAATATTTTATTAAATATTAAATATTTTCATACCAAGTATACTGAAAATAACAAAATCCTACATGCACACACACACACACACACACACACACGCACACAGAGAGAAAGAAACTAGCTAAACCAAGATAACAGCTGTAAAGCTGCCAAGCCAAGCCAAGCCCCAGTAAACTGCAGGAGCTCATAAACCATGACAATTTACAGCAAGAGTAGCAGAAACAGCCACCACTCTTGACCTAACATTTTTAGAATGGCTTACCAAATTCATTAGAGAGACTTTGATCTTATCTGTTTCTCTCAAACCAATTAAGAGCTGTAAATTCTAAATCTAATCTTATGATAAGCAGCAGGGAGTCACTTCCAGAATTCAATTAGTTTTCTACTTGTTTCCTTCCTTCAAAATCTTTAGGCAAAAATGCCAAACATTTTTGACTCAGGTGCTTTTATGTTACAGATGGTGACCATATTCTTTAAACTGAAGAAGGTGTCTGCTCAAAAATGCCCAAATCTGCTTTGGACCATAACAAAGGTACACCTGAAAATAGGATATTTCCAAGACATCAAGACATGAATCATGAGTCATAATTTATATCATCCTCTCCCTAGAAAGGTCCTATCCCCAAATTTCAAAATACCAGCTCATTATTTTAAATCCATAGCTTTCCATCAAATAGCTTCTTCTCCCTTTTCTGGTTTCTTTTTATTTAATGAGGTAGGGAGGAAGAGAGATTCCATTGGTATTTTATCTTAGCCCTCCAAATTGCTTTCCAAATAGATTTACTGGCAAATCAATTTCAAACTCAGTGACATTACACAAGCATATTTTTGATTATTCACTACACAATTTCAGCTGATAATTCTCCCACCCATTCCTGTAGTTAACTGAAGGCTTCATTAATTACTAACAGGCACAGGGACAGGTGTGCTGGCTCATGCTGTAATCTCAGCTATACAGGAAGTATAACCAGGAGGATCTCTGCCTGCAGCAACCCCAGGCAAACAGCTTTGAGATTCTAGGTGAACAATAACTAAAAAACAGGGCTGGGGGGATATGGTTCCAGTGTAAGAGTACCTACCTAGCAAGTGTAGAACCCTGAGTTTAAACCCTGGTTAGTACCATCAAAGTGGGGGGAGGTGATGCAATTATTCCAGTTCTCAAATTTTCTTTTAGTTCTCCCATTTATTTTAGCTCTCTCAGTGACATTCCTTTAGTAGCATTCACTTTTGAAGAGCAAGAAATGGCAACCAAGTATAACGCAGGTGGTCTAAACCAGAGATCAAATCCAGCACACTGCCCACTGTGTAAATAAAGTTGTATGGCACACAGACAACCCATTCTCCCACTTATCATCTGGCACTGCTTTTGCAATACAATGACAGAGATGAACAGTCAAGGTAGCGAGGGTCTGCCTGTGAAGCCTAAATATTTGCTAACTGATCCTTCCACAGAAAATGCTTGCTGACCCATGCTAAGAATCACGTGGTGGATCTTATGTCACTGAACCATCACAGCTGGATACTTTTTCAAACATAATGACACAAAGCCCAAAATACTTCTGAAATGAAAATGTAAAATTAAGTCAAATGAGTGACAGCAATGCAATCCAACAACTCTTCTCTGGGCTCATGCGTTTCTCTGCTCTAGGGCAGACATACCTCCCCCATGGCATCTGTCTGAGAGCCGGTATCACAGAACTGCTGAGCAGTGCTGGAGTTGCCATGCGTGCCTGCACTGTGAGGGAAATCCTGCAGAGAATCAGTGATGGAGCAGCTATTCTTGAAGCTGTCAGTAAGCTTGGCCAGGCTCTGGAAGAGAATAAGACAAGCTCTCTGAAGTAGAGAAGGCAAGGTTTCCCTTTGTTGTGGAAGCAATCATTTCTTTTCTGTTCTAGGTCTGCCGCCTTATGACTGGAGAATTACCCTTCCGCAGCCCCCTTTCTCACTAGATTTTCAACTACATGTTTTTCACTGCATGTACTTTTAATAAAATTCTCAGTCATTGAAATAAGAAAGCGACTCAGTCCTCCTGGCAGCACAGGAATAAAAGCAAACTGTTATAAGGTCACTTTTACTGGATTTTAAATATTTGTATTTCCTAAAGAAAAAATGCTCATTCCTATTCAACAAGTTCAATGAGTAAGTGACTCTTGCAAGATGCAGGCCTTCTCAATATTATTACACATATACCACAGAAGATGAAAACAGCTCCAGACAATGCTCATGCAGTTTTATAACCTGATTTTTTTCAGTCATAATTATGTATTGTCAAAAGTAATCTCATATCAACGTTAGTTTGCCAAAAATTATAATAAAGTATGCATTTGGGCACAAGGAACCCTTTGTAGGGAAGTTTAAGACAAATCTGATTTTTTTTACCATTTCTTTTAGACTTTTAAACCTAGTCACCTTCAGTTATCCCTACAGATACTAGAACCAGAATGAGTAAATGCAATAGAACGCACATAATTGGGTCAAAATCGTGACAAAGGCCCCTTGGTAGGAGCTAGTCATATTAAGTTCATATAATAACCAAAAAACCTCAATCTAACTGATTTTAATGGAAGAGAACTTTGGCTCAAGCATCTCCCTAGGGCTTCTCAGAGTTCAAGAAGCTGTGGAGACCTCAAAGAAGATAGTGGGGCATGAGGCTTCTGTAGAAATTGTATCTCCTGCCTCCATGATGGAAAATCCAAGCAAAGTAACTGGGCAGCTTTTCCCAGTGTAGCCCACCATGGATTCAGAGACTACAGACAGGGAGTCCCACTTGTGTGGGACTCTCTGTGTCTCTGCCATGAAGTGCCACTTGGTCCACCCCGAGTGTTGGCCAGGATTATATGAATAATAGACATCTTGGAGAGCATGATGAGAACTTTCTATTAAGTCCTCACAGCCTTGACCTTGGGAAGCACTTCCAAATAAGACCTTCATTTGTGCATCGGTCGCGTATTTGCTTATAAATCTGAGCCTTGCATTCTATGTTCTCTGAATTTATATTCTACAGAATCTAGACAAATGCCTCTCAGGCACTAGGTGCTACTTTAAGTGTCAAGTGAAAAATAAAAGCTATAATAAGCAGCAATGAATGTGTTCTATCACTAAACAAACAGGAGGGCATTTATAAAACTGACAAAAACAGTAAAAACCACAGAAGTTCAAGGGGTAAAATCATTAAGCAATACAAAGCTACAATGGCCCCTACTACATAATTCAAATACTATGCAAACAGATGAAGGAATAAAGCAGTTCTTTGGGAACTGATAAGGGAATAAATACAGGCTATTATCATCACAGGAGGAAGCTACAGAAGAATAGCTTTGTATAAGAAGCTTTGCACATGTATTCCAATTTGTTTTCTATTTGCATGAATGCTAAAAGCTTATGTAAGAAGAGAATACAAGTAGTTATGAGAGATGGGGGGATGAAGGAATAACAAGACTTATCATAGATGTTTTGTGTTATTTTGATTATTAACAACATCATTTGATCGCCCATTGCGATCAGATACTGATCCACAGAACCTGTAACTATGACCTTATTTGCAAATCAGGTCTTCACAGATGTGATCTATGTCAGATGAGGCCATCCTGAGTAGGTGGTCACTAACAGAATGCCAGATATCCTGATCGAGGAAATCTGGACACAGAGACATAGAAGAAGATTGTGTGACAATGAAACCAGAGACTGGAATGATACCGTTTTTAATCCAAGAAAGACCAGGAACACCTGGTGCCACAGACACTAAGAAGAGGAAGAGAAGAACCGCACTCCCATTCCCCCAAGCCTTCAGAGAGAGCACAGCCCTGCTGATACCTTGACTTGGGACTTCTGCCGTCCAAATCAGGGACAGTTCATTTCTGTTATCTTAAGCCACTTGTGCTACAATGGCCCTGGAAATCAGTATACTAATCTAAACATACTGAGCAGTTGTGTGTCTAAAATACACATAAATAATATTATACATAAATTGTATATAACATACGTAGTAAATAAAAGGTAGACAGGTAGGTGGGCAGGTTGTGCAAGGGATACCCTTAGGCCCTACCTGCATGAGGTCCCGCCGCTCCTTCTCGCCAGTATAAATAGCTTTTTTGATGGTGTGAAGCTCACTCATTATAGCCTGAGCCTCATCCAGTTTGTAGTTAGTGTGAGCACTTGACATCTTCCGATCAATCCTAGTTAATAAAGAGAAATTAAGGTTGTTCCACATAAGACCATAACAGTCCTTTAAACAACAATAAAACCCCAAAAAAGTCTTTGTAGAAAGGTGGGACACAACTAAAAGCAATATTTTTGACACAGATTGGTGAAGACTCTACAAAGCCTTCCTTCATGATAGGAACTACAGAGAGCTGAGACTTCGCTGGAAGATGGCTGCCTTCACTGTGGAAGCGTCCCCTGCACATCCTCTATTAAGGAGCAGGCAGCAAGGTAGCTAGCTTTAGTAAAGGATTGTTCAGTCCCCTGAGAGGAGGATTAAGTCTTCTCTGTTGCCAGCATAGATCCAGATTAATAGTCAAAATGATTATGAAATGAGATTTGTGTATAAGGAGAGTACATGGGAAATATCAATAAGTAATGAGTTTCAACAATGGTGCCTTATGTAAAAGCTGGAAAGGTTTGTGTCCTCTCTTACTTCATTCTAGTTTTCTCTCCTCCCTACCTACAATCCAAACATCCATCTATGCAAACTTCCTTCTTCCATGTTTCCCTCCCTCTCCCCTTACCTCCCTCCTTCTGTCTGTCCATCCATCTATCTATCCTTCCAGCCAACTCCTATGCATGGTAGGCCAGGTTAAGAATGGTGGAAGCAGAGCACAGAACAGGACAAGACTGCACTTCACCTTCAGCTAACAGGCAGCCTCTGGAGTGCTTCCTCCGTCCCGTCTCCCATACCTAAATCTCAAGCTTTGGGCGCCCTCAGGGCTAAGGAGCTTGGGAAACTTGCCCAGAGATGGAATGGAGTCCTTCCCTGGAAAGCAATTAGCTAGCTTTTCAGGTTCCAGACCTAACATTACACAGGTTATACTGCTAATCTTTTTTCCCACACATCACCCTGAGAATGTCGCTGCCGTGTTTCCACTCTGCACAAATCTTGGTATCCTGCAAGTCAGAGTAGCGCATTAGCCTGTCCATTCGATACCTGTGGGACCCCTCCCCTCTTCTCCACCAGTTGCTTTGAGTCTCAAAAATGAGGCTAATAAAAACACTATTCTCATAGTATGGGCTTGAGATTTAAAGAGAAAATGCAAGGGAAGACCTCATTTTGCAGGAGGTCTGGCCTGTAATATTTGCATTGATGATTACTACCAGGGTGATGTGGTATCTAATGACTCATGAAGAAAAAGTAAATAAGGGGCCAACTCTGATTTCTTTTCAACATTAATAAACTCCTTGCCACGTGTGACAGAATTTGCAGTGAAGCAAATTAGTCTCCCTCTTCTCTACAGCGTGTTTTCAAGTACCTGGGAATGGATACTAATCAAATACCTATAGACATACGGAGGGTGGGCGGGTCAAGGTTGCAGTCTGAGAGGGTAATGCTATTGCTTCCTGTTTTAGACTTGAATGTTGTTGCTTTCAGCAGCTAAAACATCAAAGTATGGCCATGAGTAATTCCACAAATGGAGACAGCAGCCTCCTGAGGTGCCACATTCTAGAAGAGAATAGCTACTTCAACAGGGAAAACAGATTCCGATCCCATTATGGAGAAGAGCAGTAGCTTTTATATTACAGGACATGTCCCGAACCAAAGTGCGAGTTTGAGGGCAAGGATCTGAGCTCTGGCCTGGAGAAGCATGAATAAGAATGGACCAGGACCACTGGTTGGGCCCTGTACCAAGAAACCCTAGAGTAGCAAGCCCAATAGCAGTGTGGTGAGCCCAGGAAGGGCTGGGAGCCCTAGTCTTGCTTCCCCAGCAGTTCCTCAGTTCTCTGTCACGGATATTCTAGTTTCATACAAGTAGTCAGATGCAGGAAAAGAAAGGGGAAAAGATTTTACCATTAAAGAAATAAATGTGAACGTCGTGAATAACATGGTCTCAAGGCTAGAACTCTCTAAACAACTATTTCCAAAAATTAGTTATGTTGGCTGGGAATGTGGCTCAGTGGTAGAGTGCTGGCCTAGCATGCAGGAAGCCCTGAGTTTGATTCTTCAGTACCACTTACACAGAAAAAGCCAGAAGTGGCGCTGTGTGGCTCAACTGGTAGGGCGCCAGTCTTGGGCAAAAAATCTCAGGGACAGTGCCCAGGCTTTGAGTTCAAGCCCTAGAACTGGCAAAAAAATAGTTATGTATTATAATAATAATAACATTATTATTATAATACATTGTTACATGAAAATAGCTCAGTATATCAAGCATAGGATTTTACATGCTCTGTGCTTGTTATGGGGAAACAATAATAGAAAGTATTACTATATAAAACTATTTGCCAGGTGCAGATGGCTCATGCCTATAATCCTAACTACTCAGGAGGCTGAGATCTGAGGATTGTAGTACAAAGCCAGGATCAGCAGGAAAGTCTGTGAGACTCATATCTCCAATTAATCACAGAAAAAGCCAGAAGTGGCACTGTGGCTCAGGTGGTAGAGTGCTAGTTGTGAGCAAAAGGAGCTCAGGACAGAACCCAGGCCCAGAGTTTAACCCTCAGGCCTGGCAAAACAAACAAACAAACAAACAAACACTGTCTGGTCATATTGTATGATATATTACAGAGATTTTATCTGAAAGTAAGTAGTTCAATATGTCAACCACCTGTTACATGACAGGGTCTGATGCATGCTTTACACCTGGCATTTAACCACTTCAACAGCCTTATGAACTAAGCACAATCTTTTTACTTAATAAGGAAGTTGGGCCGGGCACCAGTGGCTCACACCTGTAATTTTAGCTACTCAGGAGGCTAAGATCTGAGGATTGCGGTTCAAAGCCAGCCCAGCCAGGAAAGTCAGTGAGACTCTTATCTCCAATAAACACCCCCCCCCCGCCTCCGTCAGAAAACCGGAAGTGGCACTGTGGCTCAAGTGGTAGAGCACTAGTCTTGAGCTGAAGAGCTGAGGGACAGTGCCCAGGCCCAGAGTTCAAGCTCTACAACCAACCAAAAAATAATAATGAAGTTTGGGGTCAGAGCAATTTAACCCAGATGAAAAATTAAGCAGCAAAATCTGGGCTGTAGGTATGGCTCAAGTGGAAGAGCACCAGCCAAGCAAGCAAGCTAAGCAAGAGTGAGACTCTGAGTTAAAATTCCATTTGGAGAATGAGGCTAATGGAAAAGAAAGTAGCCAGTGAGAAAGAAAGCTCAGACCAGGGAGACCACTCATCTAGAGTCTGGTTTGTATTCTACAGGAGAGAGAAGGCTGCAAGAGGGTCACAAGCAGAGGAGACATTTAAAAGAATCCCTGTGGTCACCTCACAAGAATGTGAGTCATAATAGTGGCTCAGCTCAAAGCGGTCACAGTGGAATCTGTAAGAAGGACTGGGTGCCAGGTATGGAAATATCACACCACCACCAACGGATGTGGTAACAAGGTGGTCAGGGCAGCGTTTTGGCCATTGCGCCAGCACCCCCAGGGACATTACAGTTGTCATAGCAGAAAAGGGCTTCAGTGCCATGTAGGCATGGTACACTTGGGGTGAAACCATGTTAAATGAATTTCTGGCTGCAGGACAATAATCTAACACATTCCAGATCTTCATTAGGAAACTAAACGAGGATCCTCCCACACCAATGAGCATGCTCAGTTCATTCTCGTGGGTCTCCTGATGGGAAACACTGCAAGTACCCTAACTTTCTGTCCTTCCATTTGCCCATAGACGCTAGAAATGAATCATATTAAGGCAATTTTTCAAATTAAGCTTCAGAAACTTGATGGCAACAGTGTAAAGCAGATCTTTTGCTGGTAAAGCTTACTTTTTCTTTTTGTCAGTCATAGGGCTTGAACTCTCAGGGCCTGGGCACTGTCCCTGAGCTTCTTTACTCAAGGCTAGCATTCTATAAGTTGGAGCTACAATTCTATTTCTGGTTTGTCTTTGGTAGCTAATTGCAGATAAGAGTTACAGACTTTCTTGCCCTGTCTAGCTTTGAACCGCAATCCTTAGAAATGTCAGCCTCTGGGGGGGAGGGGGGAGGCTGGGAAGGGATGTGAAGGGTAAACAAAAGGAGGAGGCTGCAATTCTTGGTAAGAAATGTACGCATTATCCTGCCCATGTAATTGTAACCCCTCTGTACAGTATCTTCACAAATAAAATAAAATAAAATAAAAAAGAATAATAACAGCAATGTATGGAACCTATTAACTGAGAACAATTTATAACTGAAAATGATGATTAAAGAATTCTAAAACATGAAAAAAAAAAGAAATGTCAGCCTCCTGAGTAGCTAGGCATGAGCCACTTAAGTTTACCTTTTCTTAACACTTTATTTATTGTAAGTGAGGGACCTATCTTCTCAAGTCTCTTACAGAGGGATTCAAAAGAAATGCAAATGAATATGAAACTTTCACTGATAGGACTAGCAAACATGTCAAACCTCATCATACACCCGTGATAGGAAGATAACATGGTAAAACTATAAAAAGGATAATTTGGCAATGTCCAATAATATGACAAATGCATGGACCCTTTGACCCAGCAAGCCCATCCTGAAAGACCCATATACACAACACTAGGGGAAAAGCTGAGGGGAAATACTATACCTGGATTCAGCACACCAAGAAAGCTAGAACCCCTTGATAATCTTCACAGCACAAAGAGACAACCAGAGAGTATGTACCCCTTGAAGGAAGTAACACCAGCACCTACAAAACATCTTTACTAAAGAAAAAAGAAAGAAAGTGGAGAAGGAACACAAAATAGAAACAGCCTCGTGAACAAATTAACTTGTGTGCTCCAATAACAAGAGACAAAGGACAAGTTCAGCAATGCCTTGGGACTTCAAGCAACAAGATCTATCAGGGAAATTTTTAAGAGAAGTAAATTAGGTTCTTCAACAACTAAGTTACCAGAAAAAAAGAGACATTACCCAAATACACTATGGGCCTCATCAGAATGTGGATCCAAGCATGCCATAGAAACATGAAAGCTTGCTAGAAAGGAATACCTAGTAATTGGGGTATTGGGAAGAAAGTTATGCTTCCAAAAGTAGTCCACAGCTTTAGGACATTTATTTATCAATC